CATGATATTTCTAATTTTGTTGGATGGGATTGTGTATCAGATAATAAGGAACCAGAAGACACAAATACGCCGGACTGATACGAAGACTTTAAAGCGTCTGGACTTCGAGGACGATTTATGTCTAATATCACATAACTTAGAAGTTCTACAGGCGAAAACCAACAAATTAGCAGAAGAGGTAAGCAATAAAAACAGGACTTCAAGTGAACACAGAGAAGACGCCACCACCAAAAGCAATCATCCTCCACTTATCTAGGCTGCATCGTTTCGGCTAAAGGCACTCGGCACCAATAAGAATATCAAAACAAGAATCGAATATGCAAGAAAGACCTTCGTCGCTCTGAAATCAGATTGGAAATCTGCTGCAATCAACACAAGGAGCCAAAATTTCGATTTTAAACAGTCAGTCAGTTCTTCTGTATGGATCAGAAACTTGGCATTAGCGTCACCAGAAGCATTTCTATCAGCCAGCTGGAGACTTTCATCAATAGCTGTCAACTTCACTGGCTGCATACTGAAGATCAAATGGGTAACTGGCCAGAATGAATTAGTAACAAGAAACTCTGGCTGACAACAAACCAACAAGCAAGAGCCGATTGCTCAACAAATATTAAGGAGAAGATGGAGACGGATTGGCTGGCTGAGGAAGCCATCGAATGACTTCGCTTAATGGTCAGTTCATTGCTCGAGTGGAATCCCAATGGGTAGAAACGAGTGGGTAGTCAGTGTGAGGGTGACATGGAGGAGATCGTGTTGCGAGGAGGAGGAGGAAGAGATGAGAGATTATGAGCAATCGTAGGGTCAGCCAACTGAAAAGGACAGCAGAAAATACAAGTAAGTGGAGATGTGTTGTTGAAGCCCCAAATTTCACTCGGAACCCAAGGGAATAATAATATAAATAGAGAGATTTCACAGGTCCTTCCTTTCTGAAGCAATCACTGATTTCACTGTCTTAATTATTAACGAAGTTTCTAAAATTGAGTCATCCAATCGACAGAATGTTCTATACACTGTTCCATGTTACTGGTGTTTCCTTATATCAGCAAAATGCAGCTAGGTGAATTAATCATAATGTTTCGAATATCATATAACAGCTTTAGGAATATAAAGAATCAACTGAGATAAAAAAAAATTGATTTGAATATACAAAACACTTTCAACAAGCATTACGCAGCATGTTATGTCTAAGAAAACTACCATTAATTTCGATGTTCTTAGAAGTTGTTTATACTAGAGACTCAGCGAACTACAGCATAACTTATTACCTAACAAATATACGAAAGGAAATAGGGATGAATTCGGCACAAGCTAAGGAGACAATCCAGTCTGGAAATCTTCGTCACTCAGCATCAACAACAAATTCGGATTTTCAATACAAACGTCAAGTCAGTTCTCCTATACGGATCAGAAACTTGGCGGCCGGGTCACAAAGAATATTTCCAACAGCCTGTTGAAGACCTTTATCAACAACTGTCTTCGCTGGATCTATACTGAAGATCAGATGACCGGGCGGGTTGGAAAGAATCACCAACAAGAAACCGTGGGAACAAACAAAACAAGAACAAACCAATCGCCAACCAACAAATATGCAGGAGAAAGTGGAGATGGATGGATTGGACACTCGTTGAGGAGGCCGCCACTGAATGACATTGCGCGCGCGGGAACAATAAATAAAAATAAGTAAAATAAGGAGACATTCAAATGGTAAGAAATGCTAAGCAGACCATGGGTTAGAACGCAATCGGGAATCTACCACATTAGAAAGGGTATCGGTGTGGTATCAAGAATAAGTAAAGAGGAAATAAAAGTCAGTGTACAGTCCTGAAACCGGATAAAAGTGATAACAGAGGACTGAGAACAATGAAGATGTAATACTAAAGCTCTACCCCCACAGGAAAAGCAAGGAATGAATAATAATACGTCTGAAAGCTGATTTAGAATAAGAAGACACTAATATGCAGATTCTATGTGCGTCGGTGGTATAGCGGTTAGGACGCTCACCGACCATGCATATGGTCCGGGGTTCGATCCCCGGCCGGCGCACTCCTTTACCTCACTGAGCCAGAAATAATGCCGGTAAAGAGGAAAGGTTGGGCATGAGGCTAGCAACCACATCCTGTAAAAATTAAACACTGCTACAGAAACTTCAAGCCACTAGCTTGGAGCCCTATGTTCCACTGGGAACGTGAAGGAAAAATTATTATTATTTTAATATGCAGATTCTAATCACAGCATCATAAAGCAAGTTTAGAAGCAATGTTGGAAAATTATTAAACAGATACACGAAATCTTAATAAACAAAATAATCTCTTAGGTAAATATTTACTTACACAAAATGATATATGTGTATATTCAACAGCTATATAGTGATATCACATGCCAAATGATTCACTAGGGAAGATTCAATAAAAACCTTTGAAGTGAAGATAGAAGTAAGATGAGGCTACTTACTATAACAGGTGATATTCCTGATTATGGCGGAGTGGATCATGAAGCAGACCGTGGTCATATGTTGAACCGACAAAAACGCCATAGGAAATTTGGACTTAGCGGATAATTTATATCTAATATCGTACAGACTCGAAGATTCACAGGAGAGAGACAGCAAAAATACAGGACTTCAAGTAAACAAGGAGAAGACAGATGAGATAAGGATACCTAACCAACAACAACATGCACTAATCAAGATCAACGAGAGAAATCTAAGAGAAGTCGTCTTTTGCACTTACCTAACCTAGGCAGCATCGTTTCAACCACAGGCTATACGGATGAGGATATCAAAGCTAGGTAGGTTAGGGAAAGCAAGGCGTGTATTCACTACTCTGACATCAGTATGGAGATCATCGCTGCACAAGGTTTAAGATCCAAATTTTAAACAGTAATATCAAGTCACCCAGTACTTCCCTATGCTTCAGAGTCTTCACACGCATGTTACTAAAAAGCATCTCCAACAGGCTACTGCAGACTTTCACCAAGAGTTCATTGCCTCCACTCAGTACTGAATATCCCATAACCAGCTGGAAAGTATAAGTAGCAGGGACATCTGGCAAGCAGTTAGCCAACCAAGAACCTGTTGACAAACAAATATGCGGGACGAAATTGATATTGACTGGGCATAGGCTACTGGTGGGTCGGTGGTATAGTGGTTAGGACGCCCGCCGACCATGTACATGGTCCGAGGTTCGATCACCGGTCAACGCACTCCTTTACCTCGTTAAGCCAGAAATAATGCTGGTAAAGAGGAAAGGTTTGGCATGAGGCTAGCAACCCCATCCTGTGAAAATTAAACACTGCTACAGAAACTCCAAGCCACTAGCTTGAAGCCCCATGTTCCACTGGGGAACTTGAAGGAAAAAAATAGGCCGATGAGACAGTTGAGTGACATTAAATGACAGGCCCTGGAGTCGAATCCAAATGGGAAAGGAGATTTTGCTCTGGGTTGGTGGGTGAAGTGAAGGAGACTGCTTGGATGGGAAAGGAAAGCTTATGACAACGGTGAGGCAGCTAAAAATACTCCAGAGAGCACAGTGCCACAGAATTGCTGTGTTCCACTTGGACCCAGTTGGGGTAACAATAATATGATGATTATGGTTACGTATACGGATGACTGGTACGGGTAACTGGGAATCATTTGCATCAACTAATATTCCTAACTGGTCTGATGGTTGCTTTGTTCGTTTAGGCTCATGTTCGTTCATTCTCCATTTCTGAAGCAATATTTATAAGTTACTGTAGTTTAAAATGTATTCTTTCAATATCAGATATAAATGGTATGGTATTTTATATATTCACTGAGTTGTTTGAACTATTTTCTTAAAATCTTCACTGTGAAGCTCATTTTTCAAATTTTCTAGCAAGTATGAAAGCATGGGAAAGTAAGTGACCTCCAATTACTCCAATATGTGTGGTATTCTTCTCATCCAGATTGGATAATCGGTTATTAGCAACCCTCTTAAACTGCTAGACTACCTAAGTTTTCATTCAGCATACTCATCAGGTCTTAGTTTGCAGGAATTTGATTGGTTTCAGGATATCATCATGAACCGACATCGATTAGAATACCATTGGAAAACCTGCGAGTACTGAACAGCTCTTCTAACGGAACTAATCCTCTACCCGATGTCAGTTCATGACGGAATCCTGAAATCAGTTCAATCCCTGCAGGCCGACATTTGGATATCAGTCTGGTGATCACTAGTGACTGGTCACCTGCAGTTCTACTGGAAAGCTATGACCAGTGAAGTACAGCAGGTTGGGTGTGAGGACAAATACTTGTCAGCAATGACATTCGCTAGTGCTCATCCCATCTCATGAATAGGCGGAAGCTGAAATTTATGGACGGGCCAATGAATCGGGCCCCAATGGCTTGATGGTCTACGAGCTGGCCTTGTAACCAGAAGGTCGTGGGGTTCGAACCCTGGCGAAGGGTGCGTACTGATGAAGAGTCCCAAACTAGAGGGAAGAAACAGCTGTCCAGTACTCCCAGAATTTACAGTGGTCCTCTAACCTATATCATTTCATGATGAAATCGTGAAACCTATCTACTATTCTCCGAATCGTGTTGTTTTGATTTTCCAGTGTTATCCTTAGATCGCAGTATGGGATGAATGATATATGTAACTGTCTTCCAATCTATCGCCGTGTATTTTCAAAATAAATTGAAGGAAAAATGTCGTAGAGCACTGAGTATTGTTTCAAATCACGAGACAGACTGTCGATGAATATTTTACTTGAAGATTCTATTCTGGGGAGTGAATATATTGCAAGGAATTAGGCTGAGAATTCTGTATTGTATGTAAACATACTTTGCAAAACAAAGCTATCATTATTATACTTCGTAAGCCTTTAGAATACAGTCATCATTCCCTAGCAAACATAGTAATTCAACACGTAAAAAAAGGCGAATTAGTGTTTAAATTTAAACTGTGCGCGCAAAAAGTTACAGTGACATTTAAACAATATCTATGCTATATTTGTATAATAATTAAGACAAAACTTACCATAAATATTGTTGGTACAATACGATCATTAAAAGTACAATATTGAAATACTAAATATTGTAAAAATCCTGAATCAAATTGACATCCAGGAAAGTATCTGGCAATTGAACATCTCATTTCTGATTCTGTATTATTACTAAACATACCACGACATATTGATGAATTCGGTGCATCACCTTCAATATCTGAGAATATATTATGTGTATCAGTGTTACCACGAAAACCAATACCATTTGTATATGATAAAAATGTATAAAATATAATAAGTGATGCAAGTAAATGAAATGTTTTCATTGATAAATTCAATGAAAATTTATGCAACATTATTGTGCTTTTGTCTCTTTTTTTATCTTAATACATTCAGTAACTTTCTTTATTCTCTGTAAATGATGATGATGAATAGAGTGGATTGCTGGAAATTAAAAAAATGGAATAAAATATTAAGTCGGTTCAAAGTACGTTTAAATAACAATAATAATAACATTTTAACTGATTAAAATTTTAGAGCTATATACTCAGAAGAAGTAATTGAAGATGAATTAAGCATTTTATGTGATACTTTGATCGAAAATAGCTATCCGGAAAAATTTATCAAGAAACACATGACAAAAAAAGCGGAAAAGGACTACTTACTCACTATCTGTTAACAAGAAGCCACTATATATACGATTACAATTCATGGGCGATATACAAAGTGAGATAATTACGAGTAAATTAAGAAAATCAGTTCAAAGAACTGTTAATGCTGGCGAACTACACTTCTTATTCTCTACACAACCGATGGTGCTACTTCGACTGAAAAATGAAGTACCTAGACTATCTAGCCACTTCAAATTGTATCTACCTATGCAACTGCGCTTGTGGAGCCAGTTATATTGGCTACTACTGTAGGGACTTGACTTTTCATGCTCGAGAACATCTCCCAGCATTGCTAAGTAAAGGTGTAGTTAAAACCATTAACAGTTCAATGCAGGACCATCTAGTACAAACCTGCCACAAAGTCAGAGTGGAAGAATCATTCTCTATCATCTACCGGGTGCTTAATAAATTGCCAAAATCATCCAAGCACTGCATGATCCAAACAGCAAAGGCTGTTGCAATTCACCCCAAACAACCAGTGCTCTGTGTTCAAAAGAAGCAGGTCCAGCCACTACTACTGTCCTGGCTGGCCTTCAGTTCAGATTAAAATTCATGAATTTGTAATATTATCTTTCCTAATTTTTCTGACATTCAACTTATTTTATGTTGATGCTGTTGAGCTGTAATCTATCAGTATTATTGATTCGATGTTATTTAAACATTAATGTTGTTCATAACACTGATTAATTCATTCACCATAATGTATATATAACTGTAGAGCCTGACGATGAATTTATCGAAAAGAGTACTCTTTGTTCAGTATCCATTCTTTTGAAAATAATAACATTAATCATATAATGCATATTTTTAATTCATGAAAACTGATGAACTGCCACCATAACCCAGATTTTCATTTCATCTTCAGTCACCAGATATTACATTGGCTGCTGCGTCGGCGGCACTGTGGTTAGGACTCTCGCTACCCATGCATATGGTACGAGGTTCGATCCCCTGCCGACGCATATCTGATATCTATGGTCAGCCTGCAAAATTTGGGCTACCGATATCCATGCTGAAAATTCCATACTTGTACCAAAAATAAGGTATGGAATCAAGCTGTAATAAAAATAATAAAATAAAATACTCCATTTTTTAAATTAATGGAAAAATTACTTTTACTCTACCTTGTACCTTCCTTCCTTGAAAAGTTTCAATGATCCTGAACAGTTTGCTTTTATAAACAGAATAGGTGCTGCTTCTGTTTTACATTGTAATATTGTTTTCTACTGAAATAAAGGAGCTAAATTTTTCTAATGTGACCTTTGAGACTACACATTCGCTTTTGACTCTGTTTCCAGATGTCTTTTGTTCAATAAGCTTTTCTTCACACAGACCGAGTCCTGAACTGAACAGAATGTAGTCTACTGTATATAACGGCAGATCTCCATCTGCCTTATTTACTGAAGCCGACGTCGCTTAAAGTGCTTCTCTGTCTCCTCTCCATTTTTCTTTCTTCTTATAAAATTTGCCTCTTTCAAAGGAAATCAACTTGATTAAATATCCTAATGGTCTTATTGTCTAGTTGTCAATTACGTCCCAAAAACCGACTGTTCCAAACTGAATAGCTTCTTGTTGGATATCAGATAATGGTCTAGGTTAAATAGTCTCAAGTTAAATCCTTCTAAGTGTCAGAGAGTTAACTTCACCTTCAAGCATAAACAAGATCTACACGGATTTGTTCGTTCACACAGTGCTTGTAGCATAAAGCGCACCGGAATAAGAGGCATATCAATAAAACATTTTGAGTTAGTTCCATCCTCTGAGCTTTCTTGGTCATCCCATATCTTGTCAGTTTCTAAGGAAATGTACCCTCCAACCTTCTGCATTACGAAGCTAAGACAATCGGATATCGCGCAACCTCTACTCTTACAATTTGTTAACTCTTGCATCTTAATTGTAGTTCTTTTTAACTTCCCTTTAGCTTTTTCTGGGTTACTCAAAAAGCACAATGTCATATTGCGAAGAGTATTGAAGGTTTTCAATAGAACATGCGTTGTAGCACTAAGTTAGATCGTTAAGACTGTAGTCAACAGACACCTGAACTCATGTCAGAAATGACCTAAATCCATATTGTCTGACACTCAAAACCCTCTGTTCATAACCCTTCTCTTGTATGTCATCAGCTGGGACAAGAATTCATTACAGAACAGTATAAACTCGCACAGCTTAGTACATAAACTCAACTCAACTCTATTTGACCTGCAATGTATGTGACGAGGAAAGTGTTAAACGTGAAACTTATAACTTTTTATGCAATTAGCAAAATAAATGACTCTTTGACCTTTCCTGTTTGAAATTTATGGTGATGCTACTTCTCTTACTTTATAATTTTCGTAGTTATTATTATCATTTTGTTCTCTGTACAATCTTGAATTTATTGCTACTATTAATGATACTGTGTAGTGTTTTCTTTTCGAGTAAATTGGATACAACATTGCATCAAATGATGTGAAGTCTATGCTGTATCGTAAGTATTGTTTTGGAATAAAGCAAATCAGTATTATTACTATTATTATTTCACTACGCAGGTTACAGTTTGTCAAACAAGAGCTATCTCAGACAATCCTACCATCGAAGATAGATTCAGTGAATAAACTCTGTTAGAGGTTCCACGTGGCCTCCCTCAACTAATGTACTGTCAAATCTTGCTTAGTCAGTAATAAGTAAGTCCTATGAAGGAAGAAGTTCGGATGCAAGGATTGTAACCCCAGCCCAAAAAATAACAACACCACCACCCCTGAAATTTTAAAGCTCAAGCGTAAAGTCCTATGGGTCAAAAAACTGGTGCGTCCTCGAAAACATTTCCAACAGGCTATTGCATTGGCTTATCAATAGCTGCCTACTCTGGCTCCAAAGAGAAGATCAGATGGTCAGCCAGAAACTTTGGGAACGATCCAATCAAGAATCTATTGCTTGAGAAATACGCCAAAGAAAATGGAAATGGAGAGAAAACACAATGAAGAGACCGTTGAACTGTGTCACTCGCCAAGCTGACGCTCAAGTAACACCTAAGTGGGAAACAATGACTAGGACGTGGGACCGTGAGTGATATGGAGGCGACGAAGCTCATGGATGATCGTGAAGCCAGATAAAGAGATATGCAGAGAACAGAAGAGAATGCAGATGTTTTGTTGAAGCCCTATGTTTGACTTGGAAAGCAAAGGGATGGAAGAAAAGTACGAACGAATGAAACTACTAAATAACTTTCAGGTTTCTAGTTAAGTTGGTCGACCAAAGGTACTAGATTCATTGGATCAGGCACTTCATAAACCAGGAGCGGGTTTTAAGATTTCAAAGTGAATTTGTGCTAATTAGGACTTAAAATATATTTTATTAATTACATGAGTTTACATACTACTAAAGGACACGAGTAGTTTTGAAATCACTCATATAATGTAGTAGCGCTTTATAGACACATGTGGAGTGATATAAACATTGGACAATGGTTCCACTCATTTCAAGCTAAGTCCATCAGTGGTGTACCCTGTTCAACTCTCTTCATATAGTCAAGTTAGGTTTGAAAGAGGCCGTTCTTCAGTTCCATCGAAAAACACGAAATTATTCATGAAAGTATTTAAATTGTATAATAGCTAGAATGATTTGAGTGAGCAAGTGTTTTTAACAACTTCTTCGTCAAGCTGTACGGTTATAAATCCATGAATGTTAGAATACAAATAGGCTGTAAGGACAAATCAAAATTATATCAGAAACTGTATTGTGTGGTACAAACATGAGACAGAACAATAGCCCGTTGATTTAGAATATCAATCGAATGCATAGGAAATATACAGTGATTAAGAACACAAGATAAAACTTGAACGAACAAGTAGGCGACATACAAGTATATATATATATATATATATAAGCTTCGAAGGATGAGTTGTAGTCTTCGATATCAGATAATTTTGAACGAGAAATATACAAGGCCACATTCCAACACAGTTTCACTAGGATGAAAGAAAGCATATGTGGTGATCTAGTCTAGAACACTAGATCGACTTGTGTCACTCAACATCAGCTTAACCATAATTTTAAGGTCATCTATAGAATTTATGCTAACTTGACGTATTTTCTGCATTCCAAACTTGTAAAAAGAGTCGAGGCCTCAGATATTCATAAGTTCAGATCAAATCTTTGTATACAAAAGAAGTATATATATACAGTCCTTATTCCTACTTTGGCAGTTGGACAAAAAGGAGAAATAAAACCTTTATTTATTCGCCATTTTGTTTATTTGATATATATATATATATATATATATATATATATATATATAATATATATATCTTTCTATTTCTATTACTGTTGCTATTATTATTATTGCTTTCGTTTTGAACAGTTTCCACTATAACGTCAATTGTCCCACTTAATGCTTTATTCCAATATATATTTACAATGTTAAAATATATCTTAGCAAACTTCTCACCATGTAACTGAATGTTTTTGTTCGCCTACTAATCCATTTAAACCTATTAGTTTTATATCCCTTAGCAAAATCTATACATTCTACGAACGATTTTATGTTTGACGTAATTTGTTTTATTGCTTGCTTGATAATAAACACTGATTATAATCACGAACATTTTATCGCATTTCATATTATTATTCTTATTTATTGTTATTATAAGTATTCATTCACGGGATATGGTTTCTTCAAAATCATATATGTATTAGATGGTTGGAAGCAATCGGCTTCAGGAAGCGCCTCACCTGACCTAGGTTTCTTGCTAGTTGGCACTCACCAGCCAGTCAGTAAGGCGTATCTGCAACCTT